AGAGAGAGAGAGAGAGAGGCACAGTAGGGAATGAAAGATGAATGAGTGAGGTTAAGGAATTTGATGTAAACCAAGTCCCGGTATCAAGGCCGAAAGGCCGAACGTAATAATAAATATACATACATACTGGTGATATAATTTACCCTTCACTTCAAACTCACGTCGAAAGTATTCGTCACTGATAGATCTCGCACCTTCCCTTGCCAATGTATAAAAGTCCGAATAGGGAGCTCGAAAATCCGGTCTTGCGGCTTCCTCATCGGACGCCGCATTTCTGGCAAGACGGCCTGCTTCCTCGTTACCGTCTATGCCCTTGTGTGACGGGATCCACACACAGGTCACTTCTATACCTTTTTTTTAGTTTTATGGGCTAGATTTCTAATTAGAGGAACGAGATGTCCCCTGTGGTGAGGATCCAAGGAGTTGATCGCATCCGGGACGCTTCTGGAGTCAGAGAGGATGATGGCTTTGGTGAAATGAGCGCCCTCGGATAAGCACATCTTCAAGGCTCCCACGATGGCCCAAGCCTCGGCGAAGAAAATGGAAGCAGAATCTGGTAATCTCTGCGAGATATGTTGTTGGAGTTCAGGGGAGAAGATTCCGGCGCCTACAAGATTCCTGTCCGGCCCTTCCGTTCTGGAGCCGTCGCTCGGTGTAAATCGTCAGAGCTCCTTGTCGCAGATCATTTGTCTGTTCTAAAAAGATAGCATTCGCGGTCCTCCGGTTGTTCTTCGTATTGATGTCCAGTTTTATGTAAGGGGGGCGGTATGTCAATGCTTCGCGCTCCACATTGTAGCATGGAGGGATCGTCGATCGATGCATGTCTGTGAGATCTTCCCTGATCTTGATGTATGTTCTCATAATCGGGTTATTTTGTAGGATCCATGTTCTCTCCTTGTAGCAGGAGAGCCGGGCTCCGGTTTCCTCAAGACTATTCGCTAGTAGTCCATCGGAACGTGTGAGGTTTCTGTATAGAAATCTTATATTTAGTAGATCTAGTCTGGCATGTAATGGTGGCTCTTTAGTCTCGCTCAAGAGAACGTTTATCGGGGTTGATTTCCTGTAACCCATGGCTGATCTAAGCGCTCTGTTTCTAAGCCTAAGAAGCACTCCCAACCTAGTTAAGTTTTCTCTGAAAAAGGAAATCTGGTAATCATATTTTATGGTGCTGCGCATGACCGCTCTATATATATTTATTAATAGTGCGGGGTGAGATCCCCACCAAACACCGGCAAGAGAAGAAATAACATTGGTGATAACCCTGCATTTTTTAGTCAGCCACACCAGGTGGATCTTACCCGAAAAGGCGTAATCTATGTTGATTCCTAGAAATCTGTGTTCCCCGGTTAGGGGGAGCTCCGAGCCGTTAAGCGACACCCTTTCCACGTCTTCGGCCTGTCGGGTGCTTTTGCCAAAGTTAATTGAGGTTGACTTGCTTACTGACAGCTCCAGGCCTCTGCCTCTCAGAAAACGGTCTATTCTTCCAGTCGTTGTCGAAAGCAAATCCACGACCGAGCGCCTGTCCCGGCCTGAAGCCCAGATTGCCAGATCATCGGCATATTGCAAGATATTTACTCCATGAGGTATGCAGTCAGGCAACTCCCTTAAGTAGATGCTGAAGAGCAAATTGCTGAGAATGGATCCCTGCGGGGTGCCCTTGTAAATCCACCGGGGGCCGCTCAGCTCCCCATCCTCCACGAAACGAACCTCTCTCGACGCCAAATAGCTGAAAATAAACTTGCATAAGTTTATTGGAACACCCATGCCTATCAGTGAGCGCATCAATTCTATAGGGTCAATGTTATCGAAGGCCGCGGCTATATCCAAGAAAACGGCAGACGGTCGTTCTCCCCTGGCTATAAAGCTCTTTACACTGGTAGCCAAAATGGCGAGGCTGTCACCGCAAGACCTGCCCCGCCTAAATCCGTGCTGTGCGTCTGGTAGTAACTTAAATTTCTCCACGTACCAAGAGAGTCGTAGATATAGGCATTTCTCCATTATTTTCAAAAGGCAGGGTAACAGGGAGATGGGTCTGAATCCTCCGCCATGTGGTTTGGGGATCAGGATCACCATTGCTCTGCTCCAGTCGGGGGGTGAGATGCCCCTTTCCAGGATCTTGTTGTATATATTCAGAAGGCTTTGTATTAAGAACGGGGGGAATGATGAGAGTATACCGAAGTCGATTTGATCCAGGCCCGGGGCTGTTTTTCCTTTGCGGGTGCTTTCGAAAGCCCAGTTTATTTCTTCGAGTGTGATCGGTGCTCCCAGCGTTGTTGCAGTCGGCATTTGCCTCCTAGTGTTGAATTCCTTTAAAAGTGTGTCGATATCTGTCCTGTATTCGCAGGACGGTGGACAAAGATTATCCTTGGCTCTTGCTTGTTGTGTCTCCAGTGACTCTGGTGGTCGAACTGAGCGGGGTGTTACCATCCCTAGCATTTTATTTTTGTAGGATCTCAGGAAGCCCCACATCTGTGAGGAGGGGGTGTTACCGTTGAAGGAGGCACACAAGTCTTTCCAACCTTTTCTCTTGTGTGTTCTCAACGTTTTAGAACAGATTGCCGCCGTGTCTTTGTACGCTGCCAGATGTCCAGCGGTGGGATCTCTCCTATAAGTCTGAAGTGCCGCTCTTCTTACCCTGCAGCTATCTGTGCACTCGTCTGTCCACCAAAGGGCCGGTTCGTGATTTAGGGTTTTGTTAGGTATTTTTGGGCCGCAGGCCGAACGCTTATCTCCTATGAGCTCCCTAATTTCCTTTTGGACGAATTTCACAATGTGTTCATATCCCTGAATGGGGTCTAGTGGAAATTCTCTCGAGAAGTCATGTTCGCTTGCCTCCATTCTTGCTTTCAGTTCACGTAGTTCTGTCGCGGACAAACGTATCCGATGCCTGAACGTTCTTTTGGGGTTAGCATGTCTGGCTATTGTGTGTACCGGGAAGTGGTCACTTCCCCTTAAATCTGTGTCCACTACTGTGACGCAATAAGGGGCCAGGGCCGGGGATGCGACTGCGACGTCGATGCTAGAAAATGATCCTGTAGAGAGGCTCATGAACGTGTTACCAGACGTACTAAGAATGACCAGATTCTCTTCGTCGAAGGCCTCTTGGAAGCGCTTGCCAGCCGCATCCGTACGGGAGTCCCCCCATGCTGGATGGTGGGCGTTAATATCGCCGACCACTAAAAAGTATTTGGTAGTAATTGTTAGCGTTGCCACGACTGATTGAATGTAATCTAGGGGAGTGTCTTGGTTTGTGTGTCTATATATGTTTATTATAAGGAGAGGTTCCTTATTTGTTTTTAGGCTGATTGCTGCAATTTCGCACGAGCTGTGACGCGGTATTGCCACAGGCTGCGTATTGAAATCTAGACCTTTTTTTATTAGAAAAGCGATGCCAAGCGACCCTGCATCGTCGGCATCGTTTCTTAATACAGAGTAACCGGGAAGGTTGAGATATTTGTTATTTTTGAGTAAGGTCTCCTGTTCGCACCATACGTCAGGAGCTGAGGTATTGTTGCTGAATTCCGGGAGTTTGCTGGACAAACCTTTGCAGTTCCATTGGGTGATGCTGAGTCCGATTGAGTTTCTTCTTTTAGGGTTGAACGGTATCCTGATAATTCGCTGACTCTTGGTTGTGGTGAGCAGAAATCGATGAATACGACCCAGATGTGTTGGTTGGCTGGACGATTGTCTCGAGGGATGTTAACCTCTGTAATGGTAATATTAACATATGTAGATCTTTTAACTTATGGATTATCCAATTAATAGTGTCTTGTAACTCAGATTGTGTTTGGTTGCATGTTTTCTTTAGGATTACTGAGTATGCTCGAGGGGGAGGGGTCACCTCTTCCGTTGGGATAAATTAAGATATCCATGTGTTCTTTCGAGAAAGATGAGGCATGTTTAGTTGGGCGATTTGGCGTGGATCCAATATTGTTAATGCCTCCTGGGATCGTGAGCGAGTTTCGAGGCCTTTTGTGATGTTGTATGCCGGCGTTATGCGAAGAATCGTTATGAGATGGGGGAGAGAAACTCCCCATTGTAGCGTAGCTGGGCTTACCTTGGGGGGTTTGTTGTCGAACTTGGGGCTGATATGGGTGAAATGGGTTGTGATCGTTTGCGGGAGATGGTTTCAGGAGGGGGAAACCGTTGAAGTCGAATCTCGGGTCCGGGATGGTTTCGGATTGGTGATCTTGAGTCCTTAGTTTCCTTTTTGCTTCCGTCATGGAGATGTTCTCCGTTGCCGCTAGTGCCTGTACTTTTTTATGTTCGTGATTATTGTGCATTCGTGTGAGGTGGGAAGGTGGTTCCTCTTACAATTTATACATATGGGGGGGTTTAGACTTGCTGGGCATTTATAGCTTTTGTCCGGGTGTTTCTCGGCTCCGCAGTGGATGCACCTCGCTTTTCCCTTGCATTGGGCGCTTATATGCCCCACGCGAAAGCATGCGTAACAAATCTTAATTTTTGGGATGAATGGGAAGACCGAGTATTTAATATTATAAATAAAGATGTTTCTTGGCAGAGTTTGCCCTGAGAATTTGATTGAGAGGGTTCTGGAAGGCTCGTACGAGATTTTCCCGTCTGTATTGGTTCTTTTATTTAGTCTGTTTATATCCTTGATTTTATGGGTTGATTTAATATTGGATTTTAAGGTTGGTATGTCTAGATCCTGTGGGATACCTTTTATTGTCCCGATCCTATACAGCCTATACGATGGTGCGTATGCGTGTAACCCCTTTGCCTCCAGCATCCGATCGCCTATTAATTTATTCGCGTCTGTGAGTGTGTTCATTGCTACCGCTACATGGCCTCTTCCAATTTTAGTGACTTCGCCCATTCCCTTTGGGAATTGGGACGTTAGTATGCGACTAATGTGAAGGAGGTGCATCGGTGTAGTATTAAGGTCCTTAATGTGGACCATAAAAGGTGGTTGGTCCGTATTGGTGTGTTTTTCAAGAATGGGCGTCGATATAATAGTGGGTGACTTACCGTCATTAGTTGGTTTGGGGCTTCTTTTGTTTAGTGATGTGGTTTCGGCCTGTTCCGGAAGAGTTTCGCAATCCATTTCATCCGCGTGATCCCCCCCGATAACAGGAGATGACGCAATACGGTTTGGGTTTGCACTTGCGAGAGAGTTGATTTGTGGAGAGGTGAGGCCCTGACCTGTGTTCTTTTTCATGAGAGTTTCCTCCTTCATGAGTAGATCGAGATTTTTTTCGGATGGTATCATATTGCGCTTAGCCACTGCTTTGAGAATAGCCGGTTTAATCGTCGGTTTACGCAAGGTCGGAACGCGTGACGCGTGGGCAACGCGAGAAATGCGCGGGACTTTACCCCCGCTTATTTTTTTTTATTCCGCAAGCGAATTGGAGAGCCTATTTACTGTGTCCTGTAGGGATGGACATTCGTTTTCACCCGAGTGGAGGGTCGGATCGTAGATCCAGCCAGAAAGTTGAGTTATGGAATCAGCCTCTGAGCCACCATTAGCAGGGGAAGGAAACGGGGGTTGGGAATGGATAGAATCAGGAGATCCGGTTATATCAGATGTCTTTTCATCGTTTGTCTCCTTGCCGGAGGCCGAAGCCTCCTGCATGTTGAGGGGCGGCTTTTGCGCGCCGCCGGGCGCCGGCACCACTGAAATTTGAGGTTAGTCGCTAGCCTTGTTAATGATACTACTACGAGGACTTGCAAGAAACGGCCCTTGCCGTTTCAATATCCCGCACTGTGATCACCTCGCGCACTCGCGACAGAACTACTGCTGATGCAATAACTACGTCCGCACAAGACAACGCCGACACGTCCGTACCGGTCCGTGTTCGGACATCCAATGGTGAAATTTCGCGTCAAGATTAAGAAACGTGGTCGTCGTTGTCAACTACCAAAATTCCATTTCATATTTCTGCCGCACGTGGCGCTCGCAAGCGCGGCTGACGTGACTGACGTTACCGACTTATACGAGCGCCGGTAAATAGAGTGAACCTAATCTTATTGTGCCGATTTATTTAATAATAACGCGTCTCGTGATAACGTGTCTCGTGATGTCTCGTGATTGATATATCTAGATGTATTAATACCTTGAACTCGATGTCCACGTATCCTAGGTCGCCGATGATGACGTCCAGACAGTGCGCTCCGTAGTTTTCGGTGTCTAGGTGTATTAATACCTTGAACTCGATGTCCACGTATCCCAGGTCACCGATGATGAGGTCCAGACAGTGCGCTCCGTAGTTTTCGGTGTCTAGGTGTATTAATACCTTGAACTCGATGTCCACGTATCCCAGGTCGCCGATGACGAGGTCCAGACAGTGCGCTCCGTAATTTTCGGTGTCTAGGTGTATTAATACCTTGAACTGGATGTCCACGTATTCCAGTTGCCGATGACGACGTCCAAACAGTGCGCTCCGTAGTTTTCGGTGTCTAGGTGTATTAATACCTTGAACTCGATGTGTGGACATCGAATTCAAAAATAAAATCAAAAATAAAATCGTCGATTATTCCCTGGCGTTTAATATCACACAATCGGTCATTTCGAGGTTCTCTCTCGTAAT